GGTATTCTATCCTGAAACCTAAGCAAGGATAAGTCTGCGCTTAACCCGCGCCGCCGGTTAGTTCTTAACCGTTGAAAAGACCACCCGTTCACATATTCAACATTGTGGCAGGTTGTTATTAATAACACCAAAATCCATGCCTTACACGCATGGGGAATTTCATCCTGAATCCTAAAAAAGGATATGCCGACGCCTAACACGCGTCGCCGATTTAGTCTTTCTCCGAAGAAGAAGACACCAGAGTTCGATTCTAGGGTATTTTATCCCGAAGCCTAAGTAGGGATAAGTCAGCGTCTAATATACGTTGCTGGGTAGCCTATTCCCATAACCATGGCGAAGTCTACGTATTCAAAGTCGTAGCAGCAAAGTCTAAGAGAATTCACTCTCTCAGCACAACGTTACATGCGGAACGGACTTAAGACAATCCGTATGTAAGCCCGAGTCAAACGGTAATCAGTAAGAGCGCGCCAAATCCGTTGAAGGCTAGGGGTTAGCCAAAAACCCTAAAGTCAACACCTAACACGCGTCGCCGGGTAGTCTATTCCCGTGAGAAAGACGAAGTCTACGTATTCAATATCGTAGCACTAAGAGCATTAACTCTCTTAGCACAACGTCACATGCGGAACGGATTTAGACAATCCGCATGCTAGCCCGACTCAAACGGTAGTCGGTAAAGGCTAATCAAATCCGTTAAAGGCTAGGGGTTAGCCAAAAATCCTAAAATTAACGCCTAACACGCGTCGCCGGGTAACCTATTCCCGTAACAAATGGTAAAGCCTATGTATTCAATATCATAGCACAAAGTCTAAGGGAGTTCATTCCTTTAGCACAACGTCACATGCGGAACGGACTAAAACAATCCGCATGTAAGCCCGATTCAAACGGTAGTTGGTAAGATCACGTCAAATCCGTTGAAGGCTGAGGATTTGCCAAAAATCCTAAGTCAACGTCTCATACACGTTGCTGTTTAGTCTTTTCACAGGAGAAAGACGAAGTCTACGTATTCAAGATCGTAGCACTAAAAGGGTTAACTCTTTTAGCTTAACGTCACATGCGGAACGGACTTGAACAATCCGCATGCTAGCCCGACTCAAACGATAGTCGGTAAAGGCTCATTAAACCCGTTGATGGCTGAGAATTTGCCAAAACTTCTATAAATACGAGTCATAGATGTATCAACTCTGTAGATTGGTCTCGTGACTCGAGTATCCACCACGCTCCAATTCCTTAAGAGCTTAAACTATGTATACTCCAGCTTGGACGGCGGACAACGCGTCACAAAGAAGCTCAAACGCCGGACAACACGTCACAAAGAAGCTCAAACGCCGGACAGCGCGTTGTAAATGAAGATTCAACGCCAACGACCGATGTTCAGTTCTATGTTGAAATAACCAACTCGAGCTAAAAGTCAAAAAATCGAGAATCGACTTCAAATTCAAAATTCCGACAGACGGTCAGACAACAAATGCAGCACCGGAACCCTTACAGACATTTGACAAAGCACCGAATAGCCTGGGGGACTGAAGGAATCAAGAACGGAAGCCACTCCAAATATCCCGTCGTAACCAATCGAAGAATGGGATAATCATATCCAAAGTATTCCAGACTCTTCTATAAAAGAACGAGGCTGAAATACTTTGGAGGGGGTATCTGTAGGCGTATAAAATTGCTTATAGATCTCTTAACACAGCTCGGCACAAACCGACAAACCATCGGGCGACGTATCCAAACACGAACGTCAGTCCACAACGCTGAAGCCAAGTGACACATAACGAAGCGGAGTAACGAGGCGACGAGGTTAACGAATCGCACGCAAGCAACGGAATACATCCATTCGCGTGTGGAATCAAGCCAAGGGGTTCGAAGAGTCAACGAGTCATCCAACCAAGGGCAGACTCAGACGAATCACGATCGAATCAAGATCAGTTTCGGACTCGAACTCAGAAGTGGATTTACTGCTAAATCAGGAATCGGATTTACTGCCAAATCAGGTCAATGATTCAAGTCCGGATATATCAACCACAGAACCGGATCACGGACGGAACCGAAAACGGAAAACCATGCCTAAGGGGGCTCGGCCATAACCGAGCCACCTATGGGTGGCTCGGCCAAAGCAAAAAAATCCAAAAAATAGGTGGCCGGCCAGGTCTGTGCCCGGGCACAGTGAAGAGAGGCTATAAATAGGGGGCTTGGTTCATTTGTTCAAGGGTTAGATTTTTTGGAGGCGAAGCCCTGCTGGAATGAAGACTCAGATCTAAAAAAGATCCAAGCTTTGGGACTTCGAGGACTTGTTCATCCAGATCTGGTGCT